CCGGGCCACCTCCATCACCGCCTTCTTCATGTCCATCGCCCGGGCCCCCATCAGGGGGAGCCCTCTTGGCCCGAGTCCTCTTCTTCCTGTCCTTCTTTCGAGGCCGACCTCCCCCTCGATGCGCCGCCTTGTTGAACTCCTCCACCATGCTGCAGCGCCCCACGTTGATCTTCCCTCCGCCAGGTGGAACACGGGGGCGCGACATAGACCTGAGTGGCTTGAGGGGGGCACAGGAAGATCTTCCAGTCCAACGCGGTGTCCTTCACGGGGATGTCCAGCGGTGCGCCGGTGGTGCTCCCAGCAAGAAGATGGGGCCCGCGCTCTCCGCTCTGTTCTGGAGGCGCCGCCTGGCTTCTTCGCCCTTGGCCTTCGGGACGGGGTGCACCTGTTTCTTCGCCTTCTCGAGGAACACCTTGCGGGGCTGCTTTGGGTTGTGGTCCTTCCCTGTTGACCTCGTCCGTGTTCTCGTTGCGTTCCCGCTGCCCTTGTTGGCCTCCTCGGCGACGAAGTCGCGGGAACTGGGGCCTGTTCCACCACCACCAGGCGCAGCTTTGAAGCCCGACCGCCCGCAGCAGGTTGTTGCGCGGCGGAGGGCGTCTGCCTCCAGGTTGATGCTTGCTCGCCAGTGCCGTGTGGGCATTGTGCCCATCTGGAGTGACTCCAGCATCAGGTTGACCTCTGCCGCCAGGTAGTTGGAAGTGGATGCCCCTTTCGCAGTGATCTTCAATGCGGACAGGGAGTCCATTTGCAATTGAACGCCAAGGCGAGCTCGAAAAAATAGCTTTTGCCACACATGCAAGCTAAGCAAAACTGCCAGGAGCTCGTTGACGGTCATGAACGCAGGGTCATAGGGCTCGTTGCCATGAGTTGGTACCTCCAACCAGTTGGCCCAATCGCCTCTGCTGCGGCGGGGGCGTTCAGAGCGGCGGCCAATCTGGTAGCTGCTGTTTCGGATGAATTGCTCTTGTCAGTCCCGAGGTTCTCCACCACGCGAAAAACGTGGGGGTGTTCCCAAAAGACTTCATTCAGAACGTGTGCAAGTCTTTCTCCGAGAGTTTGCCAGGAAGGGGAACTTGCCACCGCCAGGTGTGGATTTCGCATGCCCCCAATGCAGTGATCATTCTCCTCTTCCTTCTGTTCCTTCTTGCTTCTTGGTGTCAGCTATGCTCCGAGCCACGAGGTTGCCTAACCAGAGAGTTGCCAAACTTTCCAGTCTTTACTAACTCTGTTGCCCCCTGAGGTTCTTGCTTGTTGGTCCAAACCCTGAATCCCTCTGCAAGGGCGCTGCACAGTCCGGAAGGGTACTCTGCAGCTTCGGAGGTTCGCCACACTTCACGGTTTTCCTTGAAGCTCCAAACACGTCCTACCAGGGGGACGTGGTTGTGGTTCCGGACCTCGTGGCACCTTGTCTGTTGCAGGACAAGGATCCAAGGGGCGTTGGAAAGGAACCCTGTAGGCTTCTTGTGGGGGGAACCGAAGGCACGCTGGTCGAGACAAAGCAGCACTACACCTGGCTGCTTTCTTAAGCGAGCCATGCACTTGAGGTCCCAGATGAAGGAGTCTGCGGGGTTCTCCACCGAGAACCAACGTCCTAGCTCGCACTGCTGCTCTGCAAAGGCAGCGCATCTTTCAGCGAGCTTGTTGGCATCTTCTGTCTGTGGGTCCCCCCAGCCTTGCGGCTTTCCTTCGGAAAGCAGCCTTTTAGCCGTGCCGTGGTGGTCCCGGGTGAAGGTCCTGCAGGGTGGCGCCGTGTGTATCCAAGTGACATTTTCCGCCTTGGCGAGGTCGAACATTTTGACAAAAAAGTTGTCGTTGGTCAAGTCCTCGCCGAAACGTTTGTCCTCCGCCCCCAGTGCTATCACCTTGGTGCAAATCTCCGCGACTGCCTTAGTCAGGCCCGCCAGCACAGCCAACAGTCCCACCCCCGTCCCGCTCTCCCGCTCAGTTGTCCGGCTTACGACAATCCTTCATGGGATGACTGCCTAAGCAGGACTGACACACATGCTGCATGTGCTTTGGGCACACCCGCTCGCAACCTCCACCATTGTATGCAAAGCAGATCAGCCGCCCTTCACGGTCGGTCACAAACTTGCCTTTGCTGTCCCGCTTCGGGCCTTTACTCTTGCCTCCACTGCCAGAGCCTTTGCCGCCCCCAAAGGGACGTGGAGGGGGTTCGGTGTGCTTGTCCTCGTGGGCATGCGTCAGCCGCTTCCGCAACCTTTCCTTCTGCGAGCCCCTGCCATTTCTGGCCCGCGATTTGCCACCTCCTGGCTCAGCGGGGCCCGTCCTGGTGGCGGCTCCCGTGCCTCCTGGTTGTTCCTTCTTCTTGCCTTTGGACGCCATGAAGATCAACGCGGCCTCCCTCACGTGCCTATCCCAGTAGACCCTGTCCTTGGCTGCCTCGCGGAAGACAGACTCCCAAGGGATTGCCGGGTTATACGAAGGGGCGAGCCCATCCAAGTGCAACTGGTGCAGCTTACGCTTCAGGCGTCCGAAGTCTCCGCCACCACCAACAAGTGCCATGCCTCCGGGTAGACCGAGACCAACTCCCTGAACTCCCTAACGCCTCCCGGTACTCGTCGAGCGCAGACAACGAGACTATCTTTTTGGTTACTCCGCTCACCTCAACCGTCAGCATCAGGAGCGTGTTCTCAAAGACCCGCCATGACGAAATCCAGGAGTCAAAGTTGGAAGGGCCAGACACTTCCACGAAGCTTCCATCCGCCTGCAGCACGTGGTTGAGGAACTTTATGGATTTGTTAAAGCGGTGCTGAAAACTGACAAAGAGGGCGAAGTCTGCATAGGGGGCGAGTCCCAAGTCAACGACCCTAACCTTGAGTGCGGATATTTGGTCCGCAGAAGGTTCAGCTTCGTCTCTCACCGGTCCTCCACGAACGGACGCCAGCCTGCGGAAGAAGCTGTCCACATCGCCTTGTCCAAGTCCAGGAACCTCCGCCTCGTCAGCTTGGTCCAGCACCTGGTTCACTTTCACCTTCCTCTTGGGATCGCCTTGAGCAACACTCACCTGCATCGCAGCGTTCCCATTTGCAGTGGTCTGCGAAGACTGCAAAGAGTCTTCGTCCAGCAAGCCAAACTTCTGGCGCGCCACTCTCCACATCAACCCCACCTGAGTGACCTCCACGACTGACATGGCCCGATCAGACGCAGGTACGAACTGCGGGTCTGTGGGCAAGCCTTGAGCGGGGATGGGCACTCGCGCGCTGACCATAGCCCCTACTGAATGCTGGCAAACACCCGCATGGATGGGGCACCACCCAACATGGTGTTCACCACATCCCAGGCAGCTGTCGTCAAGCCGCTCCATTGACGGATATGAGGTCATGGTGGCCAACTCATTGTCCGATGCCAGCAGCATACCAGGCGAAAACAAAGAACGAGTCAGGTCAGCTGCTCAGGTGGGGTCACTGTGGCGGCCTTGAACCCACATGGCCACGGCCGGCCACAGGACCTTCCCCCATCATGAATAAACGACCTGGCGTTGTTACTAATTGCATGCTGCAAAGCGCAGCAACAACAACAACAACAACAACAACAACAACAACAACAACAACAACAACAACAACAACAACAACAACAACAACAACAGCAGCAGCAGCAGCAGCAGCAGCAGCAGCAGCAGCAGCAGCAGCAGCAGCAGCAGCAGCAACAACAACAACAACAAAAGAAACAAAAAACACCACCACCACCACCACCACCACCACCACCACCACCACCACCACCACCACCAACAACAACAACAACAACAACAACAACAACAACAACAACAACAACAACAACAACAACAACAACAACAACAACAACAACAACTCACTTGGGTGTCGCCTTTGAGGATACCCTCAGCCTTCAGGAATTCCCCTTCAAAACTTAGCCATGTTCCTTTCAGAAAAGGCGCGTCGCACTGGATTCTTCAAACTGGGCCATCTGTATTCCCAGCGGGGCACCACAAACTGCAACCATATGGCATGAGGGTTTTGCTGGTTTGAACAATGTGGCCTGTGACAAGGTCCCTTGGCCACTTGTATCTGTATAGCCAAAACAAGAGCTAGGAATTAGATCCTCCCAGGTCGCCTCTTAAACCCCCAAAGGATTGCCATATATGGGAAGAATCCGATGTCTTTTGCGGCCCTGTCGATGAACTCAGCATCCCAACCGCGGACTCGTACCACATGCACTGCATGTCGTGGAGGTTGGCCGCCTGAAAGCAGCTCGTCGTTTTTTTTGGTTGGTTTGAATTGGGACTTTCGAGAACTTGAGGGCGGTGAAACCTTTTCAAACTAGCCTTAATTATAATCATGGACAAAATATGGTGAGCCATTCAGGCAAACTCAGAGGAAACCAATCCTTTTGGAAGATCCCCTCACTTCAAGACAAAGCGACGGAGCATTGAACCTGATCAAGGTCAGGTGAGAAGCTAGCCAACGTGGAAGGCGACAAAAACGTCAGATCTCTCGCTCGATGCGTGCCCTAAGCGGTCTTCGGGGTGCCGTGACGTTCAGAAGGACTTGTGTGCAATGCAACGATTTGTACGATAAGTGCAGCCATCTGCGCTCGCAAACACGAGCAACAGGCATCAAGTGGCTTAGCCTCTCCACCTTCCCCGCTACCCACCAAATGACTCAAGGCGTCTACGCTCTCAAGGTGCTGGGCCAAAGCGATGGGCTGGTATGAAAGTTGACTCTACCTCAAAGTCTGCCCAAAACATTACCAACATGGGTCTCTTCTGATCGCTGATTGCCAACCCGCAATACTTGGACCCTGGCTCCCAAAACCAGCGAAAAACGCCTGCGTCTCAGAATTCTGGGGACCCGATTCGCAATCGCTTTCAATCAGGGGTCACTGGATTTCCCCCGAATCAGAAGTTGATCAACTCACTGGGAAACGATCGCCACTTTTGCAGGTTTCCTTACAGACATGGCTCCTTCAAGTGCTTCCAAAAAGCCAGGGAGTCAGCTTAGACAAAAGCAAAGAGTGGGTTCAACTCACGAAAGGGGCCAACTTCGATGGCTCCGGAAACCAAAGGCCCCGCGATTCAGAAACTCCCCGACCTCCTGCGAGTCCGGCTCCTTGGAGAAGAGCAACGCCTGCGATCAACGGACCGAAGGCGAGCAGACCAAAGAGAACCATTGGATCAACACCAAAATCTGGCAAACAGCGGAAAAACAAACATGGACAGAAAGGAAGAAGATCATGACAAACAGCGGAAAACCAGGGTGAAAGCCGAAGATCGGTCCCTGGAAAATGGGAACCGAAGGAAACCAAAACACGTTGCAGGCCTTTCTGATCATCTTTTGGAGGCTCAAGGAAACCAGCCGTGGCGTCCACATCTGTTTGGTCACCTAGGCTTGGAGCACCCTTTCCAAAGGGACTTCCGCAGCGCATAGATGACACACTGAACGTGCTCCAATCCAATACGCATTCACAGCCATGGCAAGCCAAGGGAAGATGATGACCCTAGGTCCGCAAGTGGTCCGCAATGGTCCATGGCCCCTAGTCCCCCATAGTCACCATCAGGTTGCAGCGGCTCCCTTGCTCTGGCTCTGAATCAGTATACTGTGGATGGACGAAATCCCTTCGCACCACTTTGAAACCATGGTTGAAACCATTGCTTGTTGGTATTTTCGTTGGGGAATCGAATCAATCCAGGGCTTCTGAACGGTGGTGCGAGAAGCGGATTTCGCAACCACCCACGGTATGCTTCAAAGGCTAGGGCTACGAATCATCTCCAGGAAGTGAGGTCTGTTGCCGCGCTTCCTAGACTCCTGCATGCCTGTGGACATTAGCCCCACAGGCGGTGACAAAGTAGGCCGTCATGTGCTTCTGGGGCTCGTTGCCCGTTTCCAGGTTGCTTTAAAGTTAAACGGAAACCAACAGGAAAACAATCGTTTTGGGGTTCCCCCTTCTTGACACATTGGCGTGTCTGTCTTTGTGCTTTAAGAGAAACCAAAAGGAACACCGCCATTTTTTTAGTTACATCTTCTTTCACTTTCTAATTCCCTTTCTTTTTAGTCTTTACATTTGGATTTTTGGCATAATTTTTATATTTTGGATGAGTGATTAGTAAAAAGAGAATATTTGTAAAAGCATTTAATTGTGTTTAGAATAATGCCTTGAATCACAGATTTATTATTTATTGTTCTTATTTGTATATGTCTTTTCTTATTTTAGTATTTCTTGTTTGTTTGTCTTCTTCATATTAATTTATTTTACTATTTTACGTTTAAAAAGTTGAATATAATGGAAATACTTGCAAATGAGATTATACCTTAGAAGCATTTGGAATTAATTCTAAGATTTCATGTGTCTACAATCATTTTATTATATTTCTCACCTATTAATCCACTCTATCCCTCTCTCCTACCCCTTCATCTCACGGACGAAGGTAGAGAGGGAAGGGATGGAGGAAGGGACACGAGAGGGGGCCCTGATAAAAGACACACCCACATCTTGCGACCCCTGAAAACTGGCTCAAGTCTTTGCTCTGATCGGGGCATAAGCCTGCAAGGCTTTGCGCGCCCCGAGCCTTCTCCATGCCGCCCTGGGTGTCGTCAATCCGCAGCAGAGCCCTGAAGCGGAAAAGCGATGGAGATAATCCACGTGGGATGTTCCACTCTGTTTGAGGGTTTCTCCATCCCCCAACTGGTGGCCAAACACCAAAGTGGACGGTCTTCAACTCTTGGAAGTCCAGGGATTCCGCTTGATTTGAACGGCAAATCTCCAATCCCTCCACGATATGGCAAAGCCCCTGAAAGTGGAGGGAAAGGTCTCCTACTCTACCTGCTCCTGAACCGGGTTCGTTGCAACACGACCCTTTAGAAACACAATCAGCTTGGGGTCCTTTCATGTTCAAATCCCCCCAAAAAAGGTTCTCTTTTGGGTCTCCCTTTTGGGCTTCCCTGTTCGAGCTCAGTTTTGGCGCCTTTTCTGGCCAAGGTTTCCCTCACATTCACATGGAGCTTTCGTTTCGTTGGCGAGTTTCGGGCGACGCGTTCTGCTCCGCCTCACGCACACGGTGTTCAGGTACCGGTCTGCAAGGTCCATGGATCGCACCTCGAGTGCGAGCTTCGGGCCTTGCCCGAAATCGTAACGATGTCACGCCCCCTTTTTTAGTGGCTGGCTTCCCCAGAACTGGCTTCCCAACAAATGGTCGGCTCCGCAAAAATGGTCGGCTTCCCCCAAAAAATGCTTGGCTTCGCCAAAATGGTGGTCGTTGTTGGGGGAGTTAAGGAATTGCTTGCACCCACAGCCGATGGATTACTCGGCCTGAAATACCAACATCCAAATGGATACCCCAAGTTGAAGCAACTCCGATGGAGTTGGCGGCTCCTACCTCAGCTCTCACCCGCACAAAGCAAAACTATGCGATTCTGGTCCATATCTAGTTGTCAAGCGCTGGCAAAAGGCCGCCGCAGACCTTGGAGCTTTCGTCCCACGAACTTGGAGTCTCGCTTGAAGCTGTCGGAAGGTTTTTTGTTGAGGGTAGCCTTTTTGAGATGGGTAAAAGGAAATCCAGAGGGCACCCATTTGCAGGTCCTATTTTGAGACAGGCCCTTCTGGCATGGCTTGAAGAACCACAAAAGCATATGTCACCTATCCGTTTTCTCAAAAAAACTCGTTGGTTTTGCCCCGGTGGCTTTCGACGGGAATCACAAGCACCTGCTCAGATTTGTGTCCACCAGTTGAAAGGGCATTCCCCATTCATGCAGACTAGATCAGGGATCCGGATACAACATACACCTGAACATTGCGACTTGTCAATGGTGGTTTCGCCTTGTTTTGGTGTTGAAAACTTCAACATGTTTTTCAAAGGGTTACAAAATGAACTTCTTTTAAGGAGCCCTGCAAAAAAAAAGAAGAAGAAGCTCCTATAGATGCCCTCGGTCAACTGAACAGACTAAACCCGAATCATGGCTTGGTGAAGAGGGATGGTGTCTGCGGTGTCTGCAGCCATTTGGGGGGGGTCGAAATTACTCCACCGGGATGTGGACCACAGGTTTTAGTCACCCCAAAATGGCTTGCCCTGGTAAATGGAAACCAAGGGCTAAAAATTAGTCCTTGGCTCCTTTTGCCAGGGCAAGCCATTTTGGGGTTACCAGCCATTTTTGACCCACAGTCATTTGGGGGGGGGGGGGAGAGGAGGAGAAGCCCTTCCAACTTGGACGGTGGTGGCAAGGAGGAGCCGAAGCAACACAACACGAAGGAGGCCGAAGTCCCGAAAGAAGCTTTCACGAGGCGTTGCCTTTGTATCCATCCCATGCCCAGTAACAGGTAACCAGGCAAAACCAACCTAATTAGAGACACAACATCTTCCCCGTCTGAACTGTCAGCGGACCCCTTGTCAAAGCACTCGAGCACAGAACAGAGGTCCAACCAGATGTCCCATTTAAACCTTGCCCCAAGGAAACTCAATCCATGCTCTTTGCCCGGAAAGCGGGGTAGAAAAAAAAACACGCCGCGCCTCCTCGTACCACCTCGCAGACTCTTTGAGGTCGCCGGCCTCGTGAGATTTCAAGTCTGATGGAACGAAAAGGTCAAGCTGAAGCATCCAAGTCTTCCCTTTCCGGCTTCCCTTTCCGGCCCAAAGTCACGCCAGCTCTCCTAGGTCCTCCAGCAGAGAGGTTAGAATAAGTTGGCTACCCGAGTTTTTTTTTCTGTAGCCTATTTTAGTAGGGGAACGGAATCTCCCCAACAAAAAGAGAAAGGGTAAACGGGCACTACTGGGGGAACTAGAACTGGTTTCGCGGGAATTCGCGTCCGGTTCAGTGCCAAGACCTGGAGCTTTGCTGAGAACCAGCAAAACAATAGGAAGCTGCGGGGTGAATCATGAGAACACCACCTGAAATAAGGGAGCCCCCCCCCGCCAGAACGGAAGCAACACATAGGTTGCGCTCACAAGCCCAACACCTTTGAGGTCGATCACTTTGGGATCCTGTCAAGGGCGCCAGTCCCATCCGGTAAGGGAACTAGGTTGAATCCGTCCCAAACCCACCAAACCAAAGGGATGTGACTAGAGGCTGCCGCTGAAGAACCGTCCCACCGTACTCAGCATATGTCCCTTTTTGGTGGGAGCCCCTTTGAGGTTCTCAAGGTACACCAGGACGAACAACACACATTCTGAGGAAGGAGGCTTGAACTTCCTAAGAGACTAACACAAATTGGATCTGTACTAATTCCTATAAGTATCTATATATATATACACATATGTATAGCTCACCAACTGGATTTGAGGAACCGGATTCACCCCCATTTCTCAAAGTGGTCACAGGGGAGCATGTGCAAGCACGGCTGTTGTCTACGTGAGCCACGGTCAAACTTGATTGCCATCAACAAAAGGGGATGGTGTCGGCCACAGTCAACAAGTGACCGAGAAGAAATGCATGCTCCAATGGCCAACTGGGAGAGCTTGGCATCGTATTGACCCTGGCTCAACTCGGGAATCCATGTTGGGGGTGCTATTACAGGAAAGCATGCGCAAGCTTTGAGCTGTACTTGCCCCAGTCCCTTCCCAGAAATTGCCCCACCTGCGAGTGGCTGAATTGAAAGTTGTTCTGAAGTTTGAGTTCCACGGCAACTACATGGTAAATGGGCCAATCGCCGGTTCAACTGCTTGAAACACGTGGGGTCTTCAGCTCCTTGCCATACATTGCTTCCCTTGCACTCCGATTGACATGTATGGGGAAGGAACCCTCCCGTGTTCTTCGCAGACCTCCCCCACCCCCTTCGCACTTCTTGGGTGGGGTGTTACCCGCTGCCCCGAAGCTGCCCGGACTGTGGCGGATCTGCCCCGAATCTGAGGTCCAAACGTGCTTGTAGATGCGAGCCTTGCAGGCATAGACCTCGCCGGGGGCGTGGGGGCAAAGGGGTGGCAGGCGGGTTCTTCCGGCCTGCGCAAGGAATGATCGGACAGCCAGCGGAACCAGAATCAAACGATGAATCTGACAGCCAAGCAAGCAGGAAGGCAGGACAGCAGGGAAACAGAACACAAAAGCATCTGACAGAGCGAGGATCCACACAGAACACAATCAAAGACAAGCAATGCAGCCATGGTGGGGCCAGCCCTTTGTTTGAACATGTCCACATGCCTGCGTTGAAACGCGAAAACTGGGCTTAGTTGTGCAAACAACATTTGCCCAACCCTGGCCGTAAAGGTAAGCAGTGCGTTTTCAGCGCATCGAAGGTTTCGATCCGAGCGAACGCCTCTACCAGGGTGGGTGTGTGCTCGATCGCCTCGTTCACATACTCCAAGGCCTCGTGCCAACACCCAGCGTTGCCAGTTGTCAGCGTGACCCCTGTGGACCAAGAAAGGAACACCCCCCGTTGTTTGCATGGCAACCACCGGGAATCCGTGGTTGTGTTGGGATGGACCATGCTCAGTGGTCAGAATATTCCGAACCCACCAAAGGAAAAGGTGGACTCCACTGAAAAACTGGGGAGATGCTGTGCTGAACCCAGGCGTTGCGCTGCATGGCGAGGTGGCAACGAGAAACTTTCACCTCGGCAAGGGAAACCCAAACCAACAGCGTACTCTGCCGGCTTAGGGAATCCTTAAGGAGCCTTATGTGAGGAACCCTTATAAGCTTAGGAGGCCTTTCTAAAGAACCCTACGGAACCTTCAGGTGAGCCATAATCAAAACCTGGTACAAACATGGGCTACCCAGAAGTATGTAAGGAATTGAAAAGGCGGATAGCCGCAGCTATGCATGGCTGGGATTGTCCCTACCCTCCAATTTCCCGGGTTTCGATTGTGGCCCAGGTGCGGAAGGGGTCCCCTACTTGACACATGAGCCACACAAGCCACATTCCAAACTACGTGTTTCCCAAGAGGATGTGGACAACTTGTTCAGTCGTCTGAATTTTGTGTTGAAATGTTGTGAGTCTCTCATCCCTCCGAAATGAACCATAGAGTACCATATTGTTTTTGCCAAACTCACCCCTACCCAGGCAAATTCACCTTGAGTAGGCCACACAGGTGATCTGATGCCCGCAATGCTTGGAACTGGCGGGCGCGCGCCCGAGCACTTGTCAGCGCACCTTGGTGGTCTCCCCCATGAAGTTGTAGTGCTCGGCCACGGTCTTAGTGTGCCCCGGGTCGGGGTTTCGGCTTAGTGTGCCCCGGGTCGTGGTTTCGGATCTTCCACGGGGCAGGGAAGTAGGGGATCCAGTTGCTCAGATTCCACTTGGAAGCGCTCCCCGAAAAGCAAACTCAACCAACACACAAAAAAACACATTAGTGCCCTTTTTTCCCTGAACATCCGCTGGGCTTTGAGGATGGATGGAGGTAAGGCTGTATGTTGGCTCAATCCGTACAGTTGGGCCGGTGGAACTTTGGCTTTTGGATCCCGAGTAATGTCGAAAATTGTCGAAAGCCTGTGGGCAGGGGTTCTTCCAAAAGAGATCCCGACCACCCTGTGACTCCAGCGTGATCCTGGGTCCCCAGCGTCAGTGATGGATTCTCCCACCAAGCCCAATGGGAAATGCTCTAAAGGCTCAGATGCTCAGTGGGCACGGGAAAAAAGGGCACCGTTTTTTGTTGGGTGAGTTTCAAGGGCAACCCTTACCCAAAACAAGGACCGAAGGGTACCACTGGGCAACAGAGACAGACTCCTTACTGGATGTTTACCCCTCTCCCTATACATTGATAAGGGGCAAAAGCATCGTCAAGGCGCGAGCTTGAGGCGAAAGACAGAGGAGTGTTGGGTCATGAAGACTGACATCGGGGTGCAAAACCGTTGGGTACCAGGTAGACTTCTTGGAATCCTCTTTGTTTTTGGGGGGCCCCTTTCTTGGGGGTTCATGGCTATCAAACATGGTGCACCTTCGGCCCCTAGACTGTCCGAAGGGAGCCTGGGGCCAATTTGAGACGCCCCACAAAGCCTGGGTTCCAGCAAAATGGTGACCAATCGCAATGTGTGTTTCTTTGTACTAACTGGGGGTCCTGGAGGCCCGCGGCAGAGCGTAGAATATCGTATTCTTGAGCATTGGATCCCTAAAACGCTCCTCAGTAGTCGGTGGGATGTACTAGTGCTATGTTAGCATCCATGTCATGTCCCAGGATAGGGGGACCCCCCTTTTGGGGCCCCCTTCTTTGGGCATGAATAAAACCCTGCACTCGGATGTCCCAGTCTTTTTCTCCGACAATGCGATCGGATCTCTTTTGAGGTCCTGAACGCTCCCCCTTTCAATCCGAAGAAAGTCCGAGGAAATCCACCGGAGTGAACATTTGGAGGTTTAGGACCCATGTCAGCTGGAGAAATCCGCAGAGTTCGCACCAGTTAAGATATACGCCCTTACTATACCAAGCCATTTCTTGGTAAGGATAATCTGAGGATAAAGCGCCCAACGCCCAACCAGCCAAGTTGCCATGAGCGTAAAGAGCAGCACTGAGGGCGACTCTTCATCCGCCATCTGGAAACCGACGGTGAGGAATCAGTGAGGTTTAAAAAAAAAAAGTAAAACAAAAAATGGATGGACGAAATCCACTTCGCACCACCGTTCAGAAACCCTGGTCTCTGATGACTCCCGCGTAAATACCAACAAACCATGGTTTCAACCATGGTTTCACAGTGGTGCATAATTTCGTCCATCCACAGTATTGAAGGGCACCCCCAAACCTCGCCGACCTCAATTCGACCTACCCTGAGTGTAAAGTTGTTTTGAAGGACACCCCAAACAAAGTCCACTATCTGGGGAAGGGTGGGGGGGGGGGGGCGGGGTGATTGTGTGTACATGTGTTTGCTTGCTTGTGTGGTAGTTTGGTTGCTTGTGCGTGTGCTTGTTTGCTTGTTGGTTTGTATGGTTGTTTGCTTGTTAGTTGTTTGATTATTGTTTGTGTGCAACCTAGCATTTGCAACTCCCAAGATGTTAAAAAAAAAACCCTTCCAGCCTTAGGGCCCCCTGCTTTTCCAACTCCAAACCTGTTCGTAAGCCTCCATTTGATCCTCCCTTCCGAACATACCCGTGGGAGGGTACGTGGAACAATCAGTTCTCTCAGGACCCCCAATCAGGTGCTATAGTGATATTAGCGCGGGCTCCGTATATTGAAGATATACAAAACAAAAACAAGCAGGAGATTGAACACAAGGCAAAGATGGGATTCCCAATAAGCACGTTGCTCTGCTGAGACCTCATGACCATGATGTAACCCTAATGCTCCAGGTTTGTGTCTCAGAGGGTTCTGGGGCTGTGCATTTGTAGGGTTGCGAGCCTCAAAGAACCCTCATACTGGTTGTATAGGATCCCCACTAAAAGGCTAATGACCATCGATCTCAAATGGCATTTTGCCCATGTAGAGGGAGCCACTACAGATTGCAGGTGTTCAACTGTACCGCAGAGGACACACCAACTAGAATTTTGGAGGGTCAACAAGCCACGTCCCGCGTTGCCTGCAATTGGGGGTTCCGAAAAAGAGTGGATATGAGTGGATATCCTTCTCAATCAACCCCTCGTTGGGGTACTCTCAAAAGGGAAAGGGGCCAACTGTGCACCAAGCCATATGGCTTCGCACAGGGAAACCTGAGATCCCGTACTCGGGGTACGGTCCCAAAATGCGGGAATGGGTGCCCAATGGCTGCCAACTGAAACCTAGTGACACCCAACAGTGTTCCGTACAAACCAAGCTAAGCCCAGTGGTCATTCTTGGAAGAAAAACAGAAACACTCGATGTGTTTGCTACTTAAACCCTTAAACAACAAAAACAAACTGCAAATCCAATGTTTTTGCTACATGACACCTTATGAAACTTTCAGAAAAGAAGTACAGCCTATGTGCTTGCTACATAGAACCTTGATTGACAAAACGCAAGAAGCCGCAGATCCTCTGTGCTTCTGCTTTATTTGCTTAAGACCATGTCGTGGCGTTCGGCCCCTTTCAACCCAAGGGTTGCTCGCACGCACCAAACCCCGCCTTCGGGGGCTCAGTCTGGTCCCCGAGCGGGCCGAACCTCCGAGGCGAACCCCTGGTGCTTTTGTAGTACTCGTGTCGTACTCTTCTAATATGGGGTGGATCCACAAAAACTGCATAGCCGTTTGCTGGAGTTCAAGTCCTGGAAGATGCACCGGGCAACCAGCTGATCCGACAAGGGGCCGATCTCCAGGGTGCTTGTACATACCCCTTTTACATACCCCTTGGACAAATGAACCCAAAAGGCCTGCTGATGTTCATACCCCTCTCCCCAAAAGGGGTATATACCCCTTATAAAGTGGGTTGGCAACCATGGAAGCCAAGGGGTATGAACAAGGGGTATGTACTTCCACCCTTAGACGATCGTACCGCTCTGCTTGCCCCAAGCCCTGCCACGCTTCCGTCCGATACAAGAAAAGAAAGGAATTTAGAAGCCGTATGGAAGTCTACAGGCAGGGAAATACACTCGAAAGTGGGTCTTTGACTTCTTCTTGCAAGTCGAGGACTGGACTATGATACCCGTTGTAAAGGACCATGGGCTAAATCGCTCGTTAGGCCCCCGGACCGGGCGCGGTCCGTTATCTGCCCTTGCAAAGAGGTCCACCGAAGTCCAACCCGAAGCCGCCAAAAAGAAAGATTCCATTGACAGAGAGATCCGAAGACTAGAATCCGCACAGAGAGAGAATCCGCCTCAAGACTGGAATCCGAAGACTAGATCCGAAGACTAGAATCCGAAGCACCAATCACATCCCAACACTCTCCTGCAACTTCGAATAACCAAAAGGGTTCAAGGATGCCATTGGGCTCTGATCGGACATCGATTCGAAGTCTTAAACCCACCAAGCAAAGAACCGGATTTCGGGTCCCGACTCGCATCGAAGCCGGGCGCCCAGACCAGGAGATGTCCTGCTTCAAGCATTTCACATACTGCAACAGCAACTCCTCGACCAGCTCCGCCTTGCCCGGCCTCAGTTTGACCCAAGCTCGCGGATGTTTTGGGGTCCCCTCTTCGAACGAGCAAATGTTCTGCAGAAGGATGGTGCATATTTGTGTATCTGTAGTCAAGGCAAGGCCCTGCCCCCATCCAAGCACCCGGGCACATAGTAGTAGGAGCGCATGCTGCGGAAGAGAGACGGCACACCTGGCAAGAAAAAGAAAGCCTGCCAGGTACTTTGGTGATGGCAACATCCAAGACCAACCGTTAGAATACAAAGCCGCGGTCCCTCCAAACACTCGCTTTTGGCTCCTTGCCAGCTTGCGACCGAAATCGAATCAATGCACGGCGCAAACTGTTTGATCTGCACAAACTACTCAAGAGATCAAATCGGGGCCTTTACTTTGGGGATTTACCCAACGTGCTCGTTTCACAACTTATTCTGGAAAGTGCGATAATGCCTATAAACTGCTCAAGCAAAGGACCACATTCGATTCAACGTCAACCCTGGACTCACACATTGCCGCGGGCCGCGCGCCTTTCCGGAGCCGGTTCCGGAGATACTCGTCCAGCTTGCTCTTGAACCGCTCCCCAGTGAGGAAGTACAAGGGCAGCCTGGCGGGCGTTTCTCTGAAGGAACGCGCTCGCGGAAGGAACGCGCTCAAAACGAGCGAGCCAGCGCTCGAAACGCAAGAAAAGGCAGGAGTGCCGCTGTCTGAATATCGTCCCACAGACCTTCAAGCCAAGAAAGGGAGGCCAAAATTTAAAGGCTTGGTGTCCCAATCAAAACCAAACCTATTCAAACCAAGGCAGGATGATGGGTTACCCCTCATTCACTCCTCTTTACCAAGCTACCCCTTGTCAAACCCTTGATGTATCCTCCAATTAACCTTCTGATTTACCCCTTGATCTCCCCTCATTCACCCTGTGGCTTCCCCTCCATCTCTTCGCTACCCCTGACTTATCTGCTCGTCTACATCCTTTTCCTCGAGTCTGGTTCACCTTCCGGCGCCTCTTCAGAGAGTCGGATCTGGGGAAGTCTTGCCGGAGCTTGTCGAACAGATCGATCACCTGACGCCGGTTCCCAGTTTCCTTTTGGGGAGGTCGGACGGGGAAAGGGGCTGAGAGGTTCCCAGTTGCTGGGTCCCAGTTGTAAGCTTGAGCCTGTCTGGAGCCTCTCAAGGGTTCCAGAAAGAAGGTTTCGGGGGTTTGCCGGGCTTATGTTTGCTGGGGACCTGGACTTACTCTGCAGATTAACATGGAACCCATGAATGCCCGCTCCTCCTTAGCAGCGACCGCGGGGGTTTTTGCGCCAATCCCTATTTGTGGGGGTTGCCCTGGCTTTGGCCGGTGGTTGGAAATCCGGCGTTTAGTGTTTGACCGCTGGTTTTGATTGGTGTTGGCGAAACTCACAAGCAAACGAAAAAGCAGGTGCTAAGCAAATCCGGCACGGGAGCTGCACAGGTTCTTCGCAAACCAAAGCTCTTCCCGTGCCGGGCAAATGGATAGGCAGGGGGCCAACTCGGTGCTAAGCTCCCTGGGGAGGCCGCTGCATCCTGCTGCTCATCCGTCAACGGCGCCTGCCGAAAGGAGAGTTGGGTGCGCCCCCGGCATCGCTTTGTGGGACACTTGGGGCGGTCATGTCCTTCCCAAACTGGCAATACACAAAAAAACGGGGGGGGGGGGAGAAAAAAACGGATGTTTTGGGGGTTCACCCGCAAAGTGCACGCTCCCCTCTCAAACGGCCATCAACTAGGGTTGATTTAGTGCTGGCTCAGCATTAAAGGGTGCGCTCAAACTGTTGAAGGTGCGTATCACTTACTTTGATGTTCAACCCGACGCAAATGAAAAGCCGTGGCTCGGGGAATGACCCCAGCTGTCCCCAAGCACTGCCTACCTGACGCGATGAGACTCCTGGCCTCCGTCTCGAGAGAGTCCACCCGCCTCTTGTGCCTGCCATCGCGCAGAGGGCATCAAGCAATTCTAGGGGAAGCGTCCATGTCTATTCTTTCCAAGGATCCATTCTTCCCCATTCCCCATTCTTTCCCCAAAAGGGAAGTTTCCAATTGGACCCTTCTTTTATGGAGTTCTTAAGGGGGGGGGGTGTAAGGGGGGGGGGTAAATTTGAGTAAATGGCGTGGACTAGGGAGCCCTAGGGAGGCCTAGGGTTCAAATACTGAATCCGGTTCAGCCCTCATCCGGCTTAACCGCTTGCCCGCCCAAAGCTCTTCGCCAAACACTCAAACGCACACACAAACACAAACACACACAGAGTCACACACACACACACACACACTAACACGAACGCGCACGCAAACGAGGGAGCCCTAGGGAGCCCTAGGGAGCCTTAGGGAAGCTTAGGGAAGCTTAGGAAAGCTTAGGGAAGCTTAGGGAAGCCTAGGGAAGCGGGAGCCTTAGGGAAGCTTAGGGAATAGGGTTTTGAGGGGTTCCGAAAAACTTCGGTAAACCCTGTACTTGGGGCTCACTTTGGGGAACTCACTTTGAGGGGTTCCAAAAAGCCCTGGGGCCAACGACCTTAAATCTTGGAAGGCTGGGGAGCTTAAGGGAGGCTAAGAATCTTTTAGGGGCCTTTAGGGGTCCTTGGGGAGGGAGCACTAGGGTTTGCTAAGGAGCTCCAGGAAGTGCTAGGGAGCCTTGGGGCTTTCAAATTACCCCCCCCCCCTTACACCCCCCACCCCTTAAGAACTCCATAATTCTTTTCAGGAAACCGTCTTAAAACCTCCGGTTAGAAACATACAGCTGGTTTTAAGAAAAGAACGATGGTTGAAAAGAATGAACAATCCCTAGAACAATATCATGTCTAGGTGTTTGGGTGCTAAACTCAAAAAAACATTGGATCCGGCTCCGTTTTGTCAAATAAGACAACGTTGGAGTCCAGGAAGCTTCGAGGTAAGTGACTGATACATTGCTGTGGACAAGATCCATGCCATGCCATGAATACCAGGTGCCCATTCAAAAAAGAAGCTCCTCTTCCCCAAGGGTCCTGGAAGCTTCCACCAGAGGTAGGCCCCAAACCACCAAGCCACCAATCCAAACCATAATTTCAACCTGGAACAGAAAAACCGCCGCCCCCGCAAAAACGCCGCCAGCTCCGCTGTCTCTGGCCGATCACCACCCGGCGCTCAGGCTTCAGGGCATGCTTCGGTGGGAGCCACCCGAAGACCGGCATGCCTCAGCCCGGCGCAGGAGCCCAACCAACCCCCCCACCACACACACACACGCACACACGCACCAAAAAAAAACACGTCCGAGTGGCCCAAAAAGTCCGAACTGTGTCTTTATCACTAAAAGGGGCTTCCCACAAAAAAACAAATCGAGTCCACTGGGAAAGCTATTTGAAAGGCCCTCACAGGGGAAGTGCCCTTTGACTGGGTTACTACCCCCTTGGCAACAGACTCAAAGTGGGGGGAGGTGTCAGTTTTCCGCGCATGATAAGAGGTACTCTGAAACCTCAACAGTGAAACCAGGGCGTCTCTCTGCGATGCCCAAGTGGGGCCATGGAACCAATTGAAACATATTGAAGCTGGCCGTGGGAAAGGCTACCCGGTAAATTATCGGGATTTGCAGACTTTGTATGATTCTTCCGGTCCAAGGTGATGGTGAGTTTCGGGTTTAGCGTGGGTTTGGGGGTGGGTTTAGGGCGAGTTGAGGGCTTACGGGGGCTTACGGTAGGTCTAAGGGTAGGTCTAAGGTGCGGTATCCACGAAAGCGCCCAAACCCAACCCAACGTCTGAGTCGGGCGCCTGCCGGATGCAGGGAGGATGGGAAGGAGGTCATGGACTTCGGTGGACGGTCCTGAAAGCAGCGGATCCATTCGGAGGCCTTCTGATCAATCGAAAGAGTCGGGTTTTCAACTCAGCGATGGAGATTGGCCAACAAGCCGGAGAACGTTTTGCGTGGGGGGGGGGAGGTTTCTTCCAAATCCTTGGTGGAGATTGGCCAAATGGTCCAGCCGAAGATGTTTCAAGGAGCTCAGGGACTGAGACTTAGTCACAGTCACCTCCATGTTAGGGCGGGAACATTTTCCAAGTGAGACCATCGCATCAGGAAAAGAAGGGCGAAATGGTCTCTCATACCATAGCCCGCCTTGCTAGTGCTCGGAAGCAGCACATGATAGCAGGTTGCGTTTTCCCGAACACGCTCAACTCACGCCGACGAATTGATGCACCTGGCGGACTAACAAGGAAGTGTTCCCTGAAAGTGAAGGATCCCTATAAAATGGGATGATGTTCAATTAATCCGTCACAGGTGCATTCGTCGCGGGACATTCTGACAACCAGTCCCCCTTTACAGGAAACAAAGGGATCCAGGACCGCTCCTTCGTTTGCCCAAGAGAAGAACTCGATGTCCTGACTGCTCCGTTGCAGATTTGACAAAGTTGTGGCCAACAAGCCAATCCCGACAGCTCCCTCATGCTCCCTCCCAATATCCCTGAGCCAGCGAGTATGCGAGTCCAAATAATCGCTTAACGACTTGCTCCTGCAATGATGACTTATTTCAAATGTACCCCACAACCCCCATTCAGCCCCTTATATCCCTAAACACAAGACCTTTGAATCTCGAAGGGGAGGGCCCTCAAGGGCTTTGCGTTTGATTCCGCCGTTTCGTGCCTTTGCTTTGAATCTGAGAAATCATCCGAAAATCCTCCTGACAAAGTCCAGCCCCACCCCCAACCCCAACCCCACCCCACCGACAACCCTTGGAATGACAAGCCCTCCATCCCCCGCTCGCCTCGGACTCCGGCGCTGGCAGCGGAGGCCTCATGCCAATCGGACCGAGCCCCGAGCCCCTGTTGCGGTTGAGTCATGGACCCAGCGTCTTTGAACACCGGAAAACCATGCAAACACAAACAAGGTACCCTCAAAAACGCCGAAGGGCTTCGAAAACAGAGATGAAATGTTGCACCGCCCATGCTTCCAAAAGACTGTGAATGCCATGCTGTTCTTCACGGGCAAACGCGCCAATAAAACAGAGCCCTCGCGAAAGGGGAACCAAAAGGAAACCAGTCTCACCTTGGGGGGGTCCACTACTTTGAGACAAACTCATATCGCAAGCAAACCAACACAAATCCACGTCCCAACTAGGGGGAAAAGCAATTGTGTATCAGGCCATCTTTGTCATGAGGCCAAGTTTGATCACCTTTTAGAGCTCCGGGTTCTAGACGAGCTCCCGACAAATCGTCCACAGGCCAAAACCATGTTTAGCCACTGCTGGGTTCAACCTCCTTTGCTCTCCTGTAAAAGGGTCATTGACCGGTCATTGCAACTAACCATAGGTCCGCTTATCCATTAACACACCATCGAGGGATGCCGGATATGATCCCAACCAAAAAAGGGATATAGTTTGCAGTGGCAGTTGATTACTGGTCCTCTTGGCGTTGGAAACTTGAGTTGTCGCTGCAAACTGCGCCCAAGTTCGCGTCTCACTTCGGCCCCCGGCCAAAAGGTCGCGAACTCCGGCTGGCACGCCTGAGACCGCACGACCCAAAGCGCGCGCGGTTCGGACCGCGCGTCCCAAAACGGTTGCTGTGGCTGGGCCAAGTCCTTGGGACCTTTGGCCATGAGTTTTCTGGCGGGAAATGACCTGTCCCATTTTTTGTGAAAGTGTCCCCTTACTTTAAAAAAAAGAGAAGATAAAACATGTCCCCTTACGCACAAGTCCGATACATCGCGATTCGGGGAAAAACGACGAGCGGCCATGTAGGCCAATGCGTAGACCTGGTGCTCCGGGTTGATCCGCACCAACCTGCGCTGACGCCACAGGTGAACATCGCGTAACTCCCATTCGACCCAATCCTTTCGACCCGATCCCGGGAAGCCAATCTGATTTGGTTTTCACTCTCGGGTGCTGGTCACCTTGTAGAGGATCGGGCAAGCCGAAGTATAAGTTACTCATATCAGGGTTCCCCAGACCTCCAGCGAGGTCTGGCAAAAAAGAGAGGCGCAAATCTTCAGCAACCGTTTCACTTTAGTTGCCTCCCAGCCGGCAAACGCCTCCCGCCACAACCCCCTCGCTCTTCCAACTGCCCATCTTGCTCAGCCTCCCCCTCAACACCTCGCGCTGGCGCCGCTCCCTCGCTCGCCGATGGATCGCCTCAAGAAGTGCTCTTTGGCTTCGGAGACGCGGCCCAGGAACATGCAGATCCGGCCCTTGGACTCCAGGAGCCCGATCCTCAGCACCCGTTCAGTCCACCCGGGTTCAGTCCGGGAGGAAAAAGAAAAGAAGCCGGCGAGGAACACGCGGCTGCAAAGACGGCGTGCATGAAACAAAAAAGAAACAACAAAGGCGAGTCACGCGGCGAAGATGGCTGGATTGAACCTTCACGCGGCTAAGATGGCTGGATTGAACCTACATGACGCAATCCACCCAAAAGCAAGAACCCCCCAATCTAGGGGTGCTTGTAAATGTGCCCTTTTGCCTATTGGGCGAATGACCTCCCAAAAGGCGCATGGGAATCCAGGATGAATAACATTGGCAGAGTAACGGGGTTTGTTCCCCCAAACATGTAGGATCTGCTCAAATAGGGTAGCCTCCCCCAAAGAATCCTTGGTGAAGATTGACCAACCCTGCTAAATGTGGTCTCAACCGGGGTCGCCAAACGATTGCTTCGGTCAAACCAAAGAATTGCCAAGGGGCTGTTCAAGGGAAATTCAATCGGGAACCGCAAGGACACGTGCCAACAAAAGGGTCTGGAAACACTAAGCAATTTCCTATCCCCTGTTGGCTTCCTGGGCAAACTAAACGATATGGGCCCATTGAAACGTGACCCAGCGTGCAGACCTACCTGCACAATCATCACAAGTCGGTAACACTTGCTTCATGTTGCTTTTCTTGCAAGCAAGTACCCTTAGGTGTCCTTTGCCAAAAGGTCAAAGTAGATCCTCACAAGATCTATCTTAGTAGGGGAACCGAATCTCCCAACCAAAAAAGAAACGGTAAGAGGGCACTGGGGGACCTGACACTTGGAGCTTTAGGGAGCCTCCAGCTCCCAAGGAGCCTCCAGTTTTCGGGGACCCCGAACTTCAGGCGGAGTCACTGGCACGAATGATATGGCGGTGGCTCAAATAGATGTACCAAAATGGCCTTCGCAAAAGGGAAGTCCGCGAACCCCCAAAAAAAACTTGCTTTTTTCGGGGTCCCCGCTGGTACATGGAACCAAAGACTAAAACCTGCGTAACCCTAGCTCTTGAATTTTGAGCACCCATGTGTACAGCTACAGTCGAGCAAACTCCCGGCAAGCCCCCAACCCCTGAACTGCTACCGAAACAAACTTAGGTTGACTGACCTGCAACAGGTCATCCACGTTCTGGTCCGTGGGGAAACCAAAAGCTGTAATCGTCGAACAGGTTGATACATATACATATCGCAATCTGGGTTCTGAAGCCATACGCGGAGTTGCACCAGAGGGGTGGGCTATCAAAATCTTGCGAAGCCTGCAAAGCTTCAAGGTCTGAGAATACAACAAAACCCAAGCAACACGCCCTTTGAAGAAGCACGCACAAACTTGTACGTAGCCCAATTCTCCCAGTTCGTCTTTGGGCAGGTCCACTTTGAGGCAACAAGTTGGTTGATTCTGTCTGTACACCACTTGGGATGCATGAAGCCCGATTTTGATACAGGCATTCGAGCCACCAACTGCCCATAAGCGTGGACTTTGTAACCATCCAAAGCCGCATCGCTCGAATCGAAACCTCAGGCCGGCGCTTGTCTACGATCTCCGCCTCATTCTTCGTCATGCACTCGAGAGCTTCCTGCGACAAGAAATGGGTTCCTATGTCCAACCTAAACAGTAACTGCTCGCTCGCTCGCTCGTTCCTTCGTTGCTTCGTTCCTTCGCTCCTTGGCTCCTTGGTTCCTTCGTTCCTTCGTTCCTTCGTTCCTGCGTTACTTCCTTCCTTCCTTCTTTCTTTCGTTTGATTGTTTGTTTGTTTGCTTGTTTGTTTGTGTGTGTGAGTTTGGATAATACCCCGAGTAAATGACACACCATCGGTTGCCCATCTCGCCCCAAACACCCTCTTGGGGGTTATTTCGTGCAACCAGACCGAGAGAAATGTGATAGCTCCACCATGGACATGGCAAAGAATGCCCACCGGCAATTTCACTGCCGGGTGGAATGTAGTCGTCTCAACTTCCTTTAAGGATGGCATGATAACTGTGTTGCTGTTCTCTGCAAAAATTTGAACTTTTTGTGGGTTGTGGAAAACCCCTTGATTTCCCGAAAAAAAAAAGTAAAAAAAAGTTAAAGTCTAAAGATCCAACCCAATAGCAGTCAAGATAAAAAAAAAGGGCCTGAGCACGTTGCTGGGAGGGAAGTCCCCATGAAACCACACGGCCACAAACATGCACCGAGGATGTCCGTTCGGAGAGCGGTGCATCGGTGATGGTCGTTCCCAAAGCGTACTGTGCGATTCGGTGTAGCGTATCCTGGTTGGAAGTAAGAAGTCCATCAAATGGCCGTGGCTCAAAAAACCGGAATTCCAAAATGGAACCCTGGCAAGAGGAAACATGGACCAAAACCTGCGGTCTGCCCCTCCTGTTTAATTTTGAGCCCCAAATGGACTTCAGGCACACTGGTGTCCTGCCAGCGCTTCGGCTGCGACTCTTCTCAATTAGCGGTCCATCTGGGGCTTTGGCAGCAAATCCCAAGCGCGAACCAACCAATGAATGGCTCACCAAGCCTCAATGGATAGCCGGAGCAATCACCATGATTTCCACTAAAGCGCTCTTCCGTTTGTCCTGTTTGCTTCACACTTGACTTTGGTTTCGTTGTGGTGTCCCTTCAAAACCACCACAGCAAACGTGCCCTCAAACAAAAACACACACTTCCACTCGCTGTTTGGATTGCCAAACAAAAGGCACCCAGCATTGGGGGCCCTCTTCCTGTTGGTCCTGGGGGTCCATCCTTTTCCCCCCAGTTGACTGCTGAAAACCAACTGGGGAAATGGAAGAGAAATAATGGCGACTTGCCCCTTTGCATGTACAAGTATGGCTTTTTCTACAGGCCTTTACTGATCATGGCAGCATCCCTCGCTTCCAACTCCACGACGGGCGTGTCTTGCTTTATGTTGGTACTCCTACTAAAATGTCGGAAAGATGATCTCTGCTCAGATACGGGTGTTTCTCAAAATTGGATTCGGACCGATTCTTTGAGGTAGGTGGTTTCCTTTTGGTTGTCCAAAACGGAGTCCCCTATCGTAAGACACATCCACATGGGGCCTGTTCTTTTTGGAGCAATTCTTCTTCTCCCGGGTGCTTCCGTGCAGGGGCACCGCAAGAACTTCCCGAGTTTTCTTTTGGGGCACGCCCACTCCTCGTACTTCCCGGCTTCTTCCATGATGGAGGCCTGAAGCAAGCAGCCAGTTGCATCGCTCCGAAGGGCTCGATTGACTGGGTTCGAATGTAGGAATGGTATCTGGGCCAGCTGATACAGATTGAAGTAAAAGCGTGGGTGAGCAGGTCTTGGCCCAAAGCGAGCTTATTGCGATTTCTGCACACAATGTATTCTGAGTACTTGCCAATGTTTGTGCGGGCAAAAACAATCCCAATGAGGTCCCTTTTGCAATACTAAAGTGTGCCATCCCCAGCTGGGCAAATTGCAATGATTCCGAATCGGAGATAAGGCAACCCCGGGTACGTTTTACCCGCAGGCCAATTAGCTCGTGACGAGTTGCCCAGTTTCCTATGACTGCTTTGTCATTTGAAAGTTGGATTCCCTTGGCCACTCACAGAATGAGGCCCTGAAGCCCTATCCACAACCATGAGTCAGGCCACTCAAAGAGCGTGCGCTGCATGACAGCACGATAAGATTCACTGGAATCAGACCCACAGAAATAAACATGTGCCTGTCCCAAAGGAAAGTACAATGCCTCCTCCAAATATGGCACCTGGGCTATATTCCAGCCCTCTCACATGTTCCATGTTAGGCGGGTAGCCTGCCAAAACCCCTCCTGTTAATTAGCTTCCATGTCCGCCGACATTGCTCGGCATGTTGGACACCTAAGAGAGGATAGAACCCCCCCTAACCCCCCCCCCCCGCCCAACGTCTGATACGTGAGGGGGGGGGGCGCGGCAATTTGATGACGTTCCACTAAACGTAGTCTTCGGGGAGCCGGTGTCGCAAAACAGGGGTCCCAGGCTCGATCCCCTGCCGGCTCTTTGCTGGTTTGGGGTTCCTGCCTCCTTTTTCCGAAAATCTGGAAAAACTCTGTGTTTTTGGACGTCCAAAGTGCGAAAACGCTGGAAAAAACCGTGTTTTTTTGCGGGAAATATTGGGGAGCAAAGGGGAAATACAAGGAAGTGCAAGGAAATGAGGGGAGGAAATAGGAAGTCGACATGACAGGAAAGTAGCGGGACATGAAAGGGAAACAAAGGGAGGGACATGAAAGGGAGAGAAATGAAAACAAGGGGAGCGCAGGGGGAATGAAAGGGAAACAAAGCGCAAGGAAACCAATCGGCACGACGGGAGATGTAGGGAAATGACTCGCAACGAAAGCACGGGACATACATGGAAAATGAAGCAGACATACCGAGAAAATGTCAGGGACATGAAGGGGGAGTTGAAAGGCACGGAAGGGACAGGACCAGGACATCATGGGAAACGTGAAAAGCACATGAAGGGGAAATCAAGGGGAAAGCCAGTAGTGAGATGACAGTTCAGGGTCATGCAGGGGCAGTGCCCGGACAGGGGGGACGTGCTGCAATGCAGAGTGAGAGAGAGAGAGAGAGAGAGAGAAAGAGAGAAAGAGAGAAAGAGAGAAAGAGAGAAAGAGAGAAAGAGAGAGACTGAGAAAGAGAGACACGGAAAGACAGAGAGAGAGAGAGAGAGACAGAGAGAAAGAGCGAGACAGTGAGAGAGTAGAGAGGTTCGAATTAGGATACCCTTTTTCTGTAGAGGGGCGTGGACAGGAAGGAGACAGGGAGACAGAAAGAGACAGAGAAACAGAGACAGCAAGAGAGAGAGAGAGAGAGAGACAGAGAGAGGGAGATTGAGGAGAGAGAGGCTTGGGGGGATGGGGAGGATGGGGAGCAGAGGGAGGGAGAGAGGACGACAGAACACACGAGGGAGACAAGGGAGAGAGGAAGAAGGAGAAAAGGGAGAGGACAATGTCGGCGGACTGAGCCGGAGGCTCTAAAGTTTTTTGAAGGGAGGTTACCTCTTCCTCACCACCTTCTGTCATGCTCCCTGGAGAGATCATGACTTTGTTGACAAGTTTCACCGATGTCCAAGGGGGTTTGTAAAGGAACAAATAGCCTCCCTTGGAGGTCTATGAAAGCTATTGTACACATACGTTTGCGTGTTTAATAGGGATCCTTTGATGAACATCATATACATTGGGATTCATGTCTAGCAAGCATGTTATCAAGGTGTCGTCTTGTCTTTTCTTCATAGGCGTATCCGATCAGAAATCATTGGCAACCCCGCCGGTAGAGAGCCTCCGGGGCAAAAAGCAAGTTGCCAACGGACGTTAAAAGAAATGCTCACCCCCCAACTGGCAAAAAGAAATCCCCGCTTCATGAAATACACTCTGTTCCTGTTGCGAGGAGCTGGAAATCACCTTGAACACAGGTACAGCCCCCCTCACCCATCGAAAAGGGTGCCCTATGAAAAACACCGTTACGGGCCCAGGCCGCAAACCCCCGGTAGGTGGGGTCGATCAAAGTTGCCCAGAATCAACAAACACATCTAGATTTGTTCATCCAGTTGGCTGTTTCCTGAACTAAAGCGCCACCCTTTCGATAGTTGATGTTGGTTTCCAAGGGAAGGAATGTTAACCATCTATGCGGGTTACCTATGTTTGAAATTGCTTTCGGCATTCAACAATTCCCGCCCATACTCTTCAAGTCGGCATTCGCTTTGGCCTTGTACAAATGCAGCTCCGAGTTCTCATAGTCCGACACGTTGGTGTCCTGCTCCTTTCCGAGAGCCCCCCATCTTTGAGCATGTTGCTTGAGACGAGCCCCACATCAAGGGCCATTCTAAAAGCCAAACGAAAAAGGTCGGTTGATGGCAATTTCAAGAAACAAAGTTAGCTTGGACGCTTGAGCGGATGTTTGGACCCAGCCGGACTCTTTTTTGGATGTGTTTATTTTTGGGACGGCTTGTGTGTCCCAGACGCGAAACTCTCCCAGGGTCCAACGCCAATGGGCCAATGGGTCTGCGGTTGCACCTTGTATCTATCTATGGACCATGTTGTCCATGGCAGTCTTTTTGCCACCTTTAGTGGAAAATGATCGACCCCCTTGTAGTGAAGCATTCCTTCTTGAGGGGGTCGAGCCAATTGTCTCACAGAGAGTGGCAAAACGACCCCCTCTGGTCCATGGAGATGCTCAAAATGTTCGCGCATGGAGATCCCAGGGCGACGCAGATGCTGTGCTCGTGGCCAAATACTCCCTTGATGCCATGTCAGTATTGCAAGGAAGGGTGGCTGTACATCCGCGCACAGGTTCAACGCTTCCTGTCAGGTGAACCCTGGCACAGAACACTGGCACAGGCGAAGAACGCAATGGACAATTGAACTCAATACTTTACCACTGATCATCCATTGGATCAAAGACTCAAACGATCTGGGTCGATACATGTCTGAGCCTCACTTGACAAACTCAAAATGGATGCAAACACCGAATTTGAGTTCCAGGTCATTCTTGTTTGGGTTGTCGTCTGAGCGATGCACCAATTTGTACCACGCATCTGCAAAGTCCGAATCAAACTTTGCATGGTCTGCAGTATCTTCTCTCGCAATGGCTGCATATGTCTCATCGTTAACGAGTGAGAGGTCTGCTGTCAGGTGCATGGTTGATGCATAAGTACTTTGTCGGCTTTTGGTGCGCCATTGGTCTGCTCCAAAGGGGCTCTGTGCTGGCTCCCGCTCCTCAGCATTGCATCGAAGAAATCAGAGGGCCTTTTGGAAAAATAGATGGGTTTCCCCGGTAAATGGGTAACAAAACCCATCTAAACCAGTGGAACCTATCTATTTTTAACCAGGCTCACCTAAAAAGGACACCTATGGAGTCCTTGTCCACCCTTCGAAGCCGGAGGACACCGTGTTCTGCGAGCCAGCTGAACGTCCCGACAGGTTCCATCGGTCGTGCGGCCCATTTGGTGCCGGTCAGGTTGCGGTTGCCGTGAGTTCTTCCCATTGTGTGGCCCCCGCCGATCAGAGCAACACTCTCCCTGTCCGTCCACCCCACGAGCTATCTCTAACCTCCAAGGCACTTGATTCGGGGGAACCGTTGTGCACTTGCTTTGCAGAATAGCCCTTTGCAGACGATTTGAGCTCTGGCCCTTCTGGGTAGATGTAGATTAAACCCACGGAATGGCTTGCTTGCAGCCTATGATGTGGCTGTGTCAAGTTGCAGCGAGCATGGTCAGCTGTGTCTTGTTCCGGCCAGCGGAATGCAACTGGACACTCACAGTCGGATTTGCAGAACTTGCTGCCCATGCGTTCTTTGACACCTTCCACGCCGAGAGGAATGGACCTCTTGCCGTTGACATCATCCATTCTGCCGAAGCAAAACTTGTTTGCCGGGGCTCCACTGGCTTTTATGGCCGTTGTACCTGTAAGCGTGATGAGATCACTCCAGGAGATTTGGGAGCCCAACTCATGCTTCACCTGGCCAAGCAAACCACGCGCTTTGTCCAGGTTGGAATTGTCTCGCCATTCGCTTTCTGGCCAGTGACGCTGTCTTGCCCCTTCACAGCCATCTGCTGCTGTCCCATTCACAAGACGGAAGGTGCCAGAGCAATGCCAGGCCAATCTTTCGAAGAGGCCAGGCCAGAATGCCTTGGAGTCTTTCATCAGCTTGGAAATGGACTAAAGACCTTGGACATCTAGTTCCTTCAATTTGTGGTACTTCTCCTTGTCAAGCTGGTCCTGTGACTGCGTCCCCCGCAGAAAGCGCAAATCGCGTCGTAGAACGGGAAGTCATCGTTCCTCATTGAGCCCTCTGTGACCCAAAGGAAGATCAGAAGACCCATGACTGGAACCCGACTCGTTCTTTGACCGTGCTCGATGCTCTCAGCCGCCAGTTCAACCGCGTGAAAACCAAACCGCTCCAGACCATGGGCTAGGTCCTCCAGAAGAGAGGTTAGAATAAGGGTACCAACTTGTTCCTTCTGTAAAAAAAAGGTAAAAGGGCACTACTGGGGGACCTAGTGGGTGATTCTCAAAATTGACTTTGAAACCAACAGTTGCCCCTTCCAAAAAAAACAAGACCCTTCCCCCACGCCGAGGCAGCAGAGTGCCAAAGTGCCCGAGACAAAGGTGCTCTGGTAGCTCACAATATGCTAGCCAGTCTCCAAGAGACTTCAGGCAACTTGCGAATGCCGGCAGTTGTTCAAACTCTTGTGAGTTCTCATGTTGGTTTGGAAGCCACGTTGGCCCATGCCACGGAGACAGTATCTCGCAGCTCACCCGCTTTGATCTGAAAACCGTTCCCATGGACAGGGGCCGTTCCCAAGTCGTGCGGCGAAAGGAGCTCACCCTCCAACAATCATGGGAGCTGACGATATGTACTCGTCTGGGGCATGCTTCAATGGAATAAGGAAAACCCATCCACGTTGGAGCTTCCAAAAGCAACACCCATACAAATCCATCTAAAACAGCTTGGTGTTCCCCAGATTCTTGAACTTCACCCATGTTGGAGCTTCTAAACATTACAGCAGCCTCGACCGCAAACAGCAAAAAAGGAATGCAGGGTGTGACGATGCTCTTTTGCAGGGCAGGGCGTGAGGGGCACCGCCCCTGTTACTGGCATGCCAAGCAAGCAAAGTCAGCCCCAAAACTCGCAAAGAAGAAGCCAGGGTAGAACCAACGCTTCGCAGTTTGGGGACAAATCACTCACAACCCCAGAACCGCCCGCTGCCTTCCATTTGCTTAAGCCCCCTGGAAAAAAAATATGTCCAGTAGTCATAGATTCCCTTTAAAACCCGCAGGGGAAAATCGAAAAAAATATGCCGTTCAGCCAATGGAAGCTTCGCTTCTGACCTTAAAGGAGTTCTCGTAGTTGTCGATGCAGGTCCACGCGAACTCGTAGCTCTTGCAGAGATGCTCGGCGATGGCATAGCCCACCTAACCAAGCTGAGCCCGGGTCACTGGGTCAATGGGTCGAGAGCTCCCGGTTGGCCCAGG